TTACCCAGCAGCTGGACACTACGGACTGACAAACAATGACCGCAACAACCACAACAACGATAAGAATCCGTGCGTCTGCGTTGATGGGGTGTGGGCCACCTTGGTGGTGAAGGAGCCGGCCCTGGCGAAGTGATTGAGCATCTGCTCCTTGCGCAGCAGCTTCGTGTCCACGGAGCCGCAGCGCGTCGTCCAGATCAGGTACGGCACCTCGTTGCGCACCAGCCGGGACTGCAAAGACAAAGGTCCCCGGAAAGGCTTTGGGAAAAGTGCTGTTAGCGAGTAGCACCTATGAGGCTGAGTCGGTTTCGGATGACCATCACCGGTGTTCGTGGCCGCGAGTGGGAATCGAACTCGGGTCGCCAGGTTCGTAGCGGGACGAGCTAACTGCACCACTACCACTCCCCACTAGCACACAAACTCCCCGCAATCAGGTGGTGGTGCGAGTGGGCGCGGGCACAGCGACTGTGCAAGAGGCGGCGGCCCTGCAGCCCAGGGGCACATGGGCACGACAAGCTCGCCGGGGGCGGACACCGGCTTGGAACCTGACGGCACCGTCGCCCGAGACCGCTCGTCTGGTTGGAACGCAACGGTCCTCCCGGGTCGACCTGTCGAGTCTGCTTCGAATGAAGAGGCGACGGTAGGCCAGGCGATTTGGGTGGTTCGAGTGGGTGCGGGTGGGCGCAAGTGATTTAAAACCAGATGTGTGGAACTTGTTGAGGGCCAAACAGGACTTTTCAATAGCTTTGGCGGGCGACCGCACATCACCGCACGCCTTTGCGAGTTAATGACAGCTAACCACGGCTCCAGAAATAGGAGCACGCTAAAACTAGAAACTCGGTGTGGCCGCCAGGTTGAACGTTTGCTGCTTCAAAGTGTTAGGCCTCGTGTGGCTGTGGATCATGTGAAATTAAGTTTTAGGCAGCACCTGACCCATGTGCCTTGTATTCTCCACCCTAAGTGGTGCAGGTCGTGTGGGCGGTACAGGTGGTGTGGATGGTACAGGTGGTGTGAGCGGTGCAGGTGGTGTGGGGAGTATGGGTGGTGTGAGCGGTGCAGGTGGTGTGGGGAGTATGGGTGGTGTGAGCGGTGCAGGTGGTGTGGGGAGTATGGGTGGTGTGAGCGGTGCAGGTGGTGTGGGGAGTATGGGTGGTGTGAGCGGTGCAGGTGGTGTGGGGAGTATGGGTGGTGTGAGCGGTGCAGGTGGTGTGGGGAGTATGGGTGGTGTTGGCGGTGCAGGTGGTGTGGGGAGTATGGGTGGTGTGAGCGGTGCAGGTGGTGTGGGAGGCACGGGTGGTGCGGCCTGTGCGGCCATCCTCACCAGCAGCTCGTGGCTCACTCCGTGCTGCTCACAGTTCTCCTTCCCGGTCTCGTCATCCTCGTCGTCGACGACGTCGCCACTTTCATCGCCTCCGTCGTCGTCGCCGTCATCGTCGCCGACGTCATCGTCGTCGTCATCGTCGTCGTCGTCCCCTCCGCTGCCACCGTCGTTGCGACGACGGCGACGGACGTTGGCGCGGGATCGCCGCGACGCGCCGGACCGCGGCGTCGCCCCCTCGGCCGGCGCCCACAGCCGCATCTCCACCCAGCCGCGGCGGCGCAGGCACGCGCGGATCACCGGGTACGGGCCCAGCACCGCGAAGATCTTCTTGTCCTGCAAGGGGACGGGCGACACCGGGGCCCTTTGTAGCGACGCAGAGCTCGGGGCGGCGGAAACAAAATGATTTCGGGTGAAAACAGGACGTCCTCAATCGTTCCTCGCTTCAAAGAGGCCGTTAGGAAACTGCCTCTGAAGAATTGCCGACCAATTCGCATGAGAACCACTGTGGACAAATATCGTTACAGTAGTTGTTAGCTTTGGCATATGTCCTTGTATATTTACGTATAAGTACAATCGTCACCCTATATATGTTTAATGTTTCTGAAAGTTAATAGTTGTCGTGCTCTGAACAGTCTAAAATGTGATCTGCCCGAGCCGATTTGCGCTGCAAAATTGTTAGTTTCTCGTGTGAGACGACACTGTTGTTTTTGTGCCGATTTCTATTTGCTTAATTCCTGTTTAAGTCATTTTTGTGAGACTCTAAATGAGACTCTATCCTGAGACTCTAAATGAGATTCTAAATGAGACTCTAAATGATATTCTAAATGAGACTCTAACTGATACTCTATCCTGAAACTCTAAATTAGACTCTACATGAGACTCTATCCTGAGACTTCATCCCGAGAATCTAATGAGACTCTATCCTGATCTCTTGAGTTCTCACCTGGCTAAACAAATAAACTTGATTTCACGTGAAGACAATTAAATTGCCGCGGTGGCGAGATGCTAACTGCCTCGCCTGGTATGCAGGAGGTTGTGGGTTTCATCCCGACCCTGACGCCTGCTGTATATTTGGAGTTTTCACGTTCTCCCTGTGGTCGCGTGAAATTTTCTCCGGGTCCTCCGCTTTTTCCCTCCAAATTTAGAAGCAACACGTCTTCAGAGTTATTTGGCCGCTTTAAATTTCCACATGATAAACCCACTTTGTTGAGCGATCACTTGTGATAGCCAGGCCGCTTCTGCAAAAATAGCTCAGTGGACCTTACCTGGTAAAATAAAATAAAAAATTTTGTTTCGTTTAAATGCTCTGCAATGTGTTTGTGATGCAGCACACACCTTGATCGCTCGCTCGGCAAGTTGCCTGGCCTGACGCAGTCGCTCCGGGTTGATTGCAGCGCCTCCGACAACACGAACACACGCGTCGTCGTCATCATCAGCGTCATATGTAGCAGCAACAGCATTTGTGTTCTTATTTACCCAGGAAAGCCTCAATGAACATCGAGTCTTGTTTAGGAGGGTCCTGCCATGTTTTCACAGATGTAAGGGACAGTGATTGCTTTGTAGATTCCAACTGAGTAATTTGCAGGTAATATGTTGGGATTGGGATGTTTGGTCAATGCCAGTTCCATTGTTTGTGTTTTTTTAGCTCAAGCAGAAAAACCGGACAACCTGCAGGAAACCCATGCAGAACAGGGGGAGAACATCCAGGTACTGGACTCATTTGGAGTTGAGTATACCTCAGGGAGGCCCACAATCGGTTAAGATAATCGTCACCAATGTTGGCCGTGAGCAGGAATCGAACTCGGATCGCTGGGTTTGTAGCGCACCACGTTTTCTTTATGCAGTACCGCCACCTCCCCCCCCCCAAACTCACTAAACGGACTGTTGGGGCAATTGCTGTTAGCGAGCAACTATAAAGCCTGGGACGGCACACACGAGGGGGTGGGGGTGGCCAGCACCACGCTCGACCACTCACTCACGCGCACTCCACAGAACAGGGGAGAACGTACAAACTCTACACGCAGCATGACGCCCAGGCGAGTCGTTAATTAAACCCAGGCGCTTATTGCTGTGAGGCACGAGCTTTACCACTGCGTTACCCTCTGCTGATGATGATGCTGCTGATGATGCTGCTGCTGATGATGATGATGCTGCTGCTGATGCTGCTGCTGATGATGATTCTGCTGAGGATGATGCTGCTAATTATGCTGTTGATGATGTTGTTGCTGCTGATGCTGCTGCTGATGATGCTGATGATGCTGCTGATGATACTGCTGATGATGATGCTGATGATGCTGCTGCTGATGATGATGCTGATGTCCACCTCACCTTGAGCGAGGGACCTGGATCTGGGCGGGGGGGCGGGGGGGGAGGTCTTGGGGCGGGTGGAGCTCCCGTCCGCTTCATCGGGGCCTCTCATTGGCCACGTGGACTGGCAGCTGGGACAGACACGTGGCATCGGTGGTCACGCCATTATACCATCACACCATCACATAATTACACTATTTTACCGTCAGACCACATCATCATTCCATCATATCATCACCATACATACCATAATACCATAACATAATCATACCGTCACGCCATCATACCAAAACAACGTCACACTATTAAACCATTACACCGTCAACCTAGTAACATGTGAACCTATCACACCATCACGTAATAAAACCAAAAACCCATCATCATAGCAACACATTACACCATACAACCATCAACATATCACCTTCATAGCTGTCAACCCATACGTTTTATCCGTATTCTTGTACAGGGAAATTGAGTTTTCAGGTCCATACGGCATACAGCCGTTTCTATACGGGCAAAAACCTGTTTGTGTTTATTTGTTTGTGTTTCTCCCTTGTGATGGGACTTTGTAGGATGAACGTTGAGATTTATAAGGGCACGGGGTGACCAATAAGGTCTGAATTGGTATGTTATAAGGTAGTCGCTAAGGGCTTAACAGCCATGCAACTTGAGTTATATATTTATAGCTCTCTCAACGCGAGGTGACCTTCCCTCCAACCTGACCCCTGAGCCCGACCCGACGTGACCTGGCCACGTGCTTAGCTCCAGCTAAGCCCCTGCGCTCACCACGTGCCTGGTGGATTGCCTCGCCATAATCCTGAACGAGTGTGTACAATGAAAGCTGAATACAGTGTTCAATCCATGGCATTGCCCAAATGTACAGGGTTGTTTGACCATTTTAACACGTAGGCTTTCGCGACCAATATTATTCATAATCAACGTTTTTGGGTTAGATCGCGTTATCTATAAATGTGTCGTAACCCTCCACCACCCGACACGGCCAATCAGCAAAAAAGTGTCACGTTGACAAAAGACAAATAGTTCACTGTAAATGGTGTGGCTTCATGCTTCAACACACCGGTGGGCGAAAGCCGTGAACTATTTGTTTTTTGTCAACGTGACACTTTTTTGCTGATTGGCCGTGTCGGGTGGTGGAGGGTTACGACACATTTATAAATGACGCGATCTAACCCTAAAACGTTGATTATGAATTGTTTGACCATACTTCACAAGGCTGGTCAGTGTGGGGTTGGTAAAAGGTTGTGGGTAGGAGAGGGGGGGTGTTTGTGTGCCAAGACCGGTTCAAGGTATTACTCGCCACTGATGCTAGCCGTTGCCGGGAATCAAAATAATGTTCTGCAGAGACCAGCCTGCGTTGGTTATCGGGGCTCTTTGACCAAGCTTCGCCGCACTGGTCGGTCGCTCGTTGTTGAACGATGGCTGGAAGGTGACGGGGCCGATTCCGGGTATCAACTCGCCAATTGATGATGGCCGTGGCCGGGAATTGAATTCAGGTGGCCAGGGTGTCACAGTGCAGTAGCCGTAACCGCTGGGCGACACCGACCACGCCGGCTACCCCTCCACTGTCAAAACCAACAGCAGCAACACAACAACACAACACAACAACACAACACAACAACACAACACGAGAGGCGTAGTCGTGCGTGCGTGCGCCGACCGAACCCGTGACCTGACGATAGCCAAAATCGTTCCCCTGCGGCAGAGCAAACTGGCAAAGTTGCCCGCATAGCAAACGCCCGGGTGTCAAGCGTTTCCCGGCGGCAGTTTGGTCTGCTCCGGCCGTTGGAGCAGCAGCAACAACAACAGAAGCAGCAGCAGCAGCAAAGTACCTCTTGGCAGAGGTGGGACAAAGTCATTGTTATGCAAGTCCAAGTCGAGTCTGAAGTCATCAAATTCATGACTCGAGTCTGACTCGAGTCCAAGTCACATGACTCGAGTCCACACCTCAGAGGTGGGACAAAGTCATTGTTATGCAAGTCCAAGTCGAGTCTGAAGTCATCAAATTCATGACTCGAGTCTGACTCGAGTCCAAGTCACATGACTCGAGTCCACACCTCTGCCTCTTGGTATATAGGTGCTGCCTCGGGAGCGAGGTGGCCGGAGAGACGAGTATACGGCGTTATTCACGATGTTCCCCAAGAGCGCGTTACATCCATCGCATCTCATCTGAAAGGGGGCAGCCTCTCCAGTGACAGCTGACCAGCAAACGGGCATCGGGTTGCCATTGGCACTTGAAGGTGATGATAGCGATGTGAACGATGGGCCATCGATGTTGATGACGCCACGTTGTGATGGCTCGTTGTCACTGGCCTGATCTCGTCCCATCTCGAAGCTAAGCAGGCTTTGAGCCTGGCTTGGACGAAAGCGAGCATAAGCAGGCGCTCTAAGGCGGTTGTGCGGCTGTACCCAGTGGTGAGCAGCAGAGGGCAGTGCAGCGAACCATTGTTGTGCCGTGCTTCTATGCTGCCCCGCCTTTACCAATCGGTGACGGACGTGATGAATGAAGTATGGTCACTTACAGGCACACATATATCCCCTCTGTAGCCTGGGTGGCCAGCATCATACAGGGCCGCCTTTGTCTCCCGAGTGGGCGATGTTTGCACATCGCGCCAGGTACTCATTTGAGGCTGAGTCGACCTTGGGGAGGCCCAGGAGCCGTTCAAATATTCGCCACTGCTACTGAATCGAACTCGCCCCCCCCCCCCACACAAACATAGACAAAGATCACCCGTGTAGCCTTAACAGACTGTTGGGGCAAGTGCTGTTAGCGAGTAGCACCTATGAAGGCCGGCACGGCACACGAGGAGGTGGGTGGACAGCACCACGCCCGGCCGCCTTTGTCTCCCCTAGTGGCGATGTTTGCACACATCGCATCAAGTACTCATTTGAGGCCGAGTCTACTTAGAGAGGAGGCCCAGAACCGGTTCAGATAATCGCCACTGGTGTTGGCCGTGAGCGGGATTCGAACTCGGGTCGCCGGGTTCGTAGCGCAGCGCAGCGCTAACCGCTGCACCACCGCTCCTCTGCTCCCCCCCCCCACCCCGACACTCACCTGCGCCTCTAACCCCGCGGCTGCTCTCTGCGTGAGCCACGCTCGGCTCGCCCCCTCATGTCGCCTCTCGCTCGCCCCTCTACGCCGTTGTTTGAGACGGCGTTGTCATCACCATCACCACCACCACCGTCGTCTCCATGGCCACGGCTCGTGAGGACGCCGCGACGTCACCGGCTCGAGCCGCTCTTCCTCTTGCCCGGCAGCTCCCTCTGTGGCGGGGGAGCGGTGGCGGAGTGGTTAAGCGCACACGGGCACTACCAACCACTTTCTCTGGCTGGCAACTCTCCCTCTGTGGAGGGGGAGCGGTGGCGGAGTGGTTAAGCGCACACTGGCACTACCAACCACTCTCTCTGGCTGGCAGCTCTCCCTCCTCTGTGGAGGGGGAGCGGTGGCGGAGTGGTCAAGCGCACACGGGCACTACCAACCACTCTCTCTGGCTGGCAGCTTTCCCTCCTCTGTGGAGGGGGAGCGGTGGCGGAGTGGTTAAGCGCACACGGGCACTACCAACCACTCTCTCTGGCTGGCAACTCTCCCTCTGTGGAGGGGGAGCGGTGGCGGAGTGGTCAAGCGCACACTGGCACTACCAACCACTCTCTCCGGCTGGCAGCTCTCCCTCCTCTGTGGAGAGGGAGCGGTGGCGGAGTGGTTAAGCGCACACGGGCACTACCAACCACTCTCTCTGGCTGGCAGCTCTCCCTCTGTGGAGGGGGAGCGGTGGCGGAGTGGTTAAGCGCACACGGGCACTACCAACCACTCTCTCTGGCTGGCAACTCTCCCTCTGTGGAGGGGGAGTGGTGGCGGAGTGGTTAAGCGCACACGGGCACTACCAACCACTCTCTCCGGCTGGCAGCTCTCCCTCTGTGGAGGGGGAGCGGTGGCGGAGTGGTCAAGCGCACACTGGCACTACCAACCACTCTCTCCGGCTGGCAGCTCTCCCTCCTCTGTGGAGGGGGAGCGGTGGCGGAGTGGTTAAGCGCACACTGGCACTACCAACCACTCTCTCCGGCTGGCAGCTCTCCCTCCTCTGTGGAGGGGGAGCGGTGGCGGAGTGGTTAAGCGCACACGGGCACTACCAACCACTCTCTCTGGCTGGCAACTCTCCCTCTGTGGAGGGGGAGTGGTGGCGGAGTGGTTAAGCGCACACGGGCACTACCAACCACTCTCTCTGGCTGGCAACTCTCCCTCTGTGGAGGGGGAGTGGTGGCGGAGTGGTTAAGCGCACACGGGCACTACCAACCACTCTCTCTGGCTGGCAGCTTTCCCTCCTCTGTGGAGGGGGAGCGGTGGCGGAGTGGTCAAGCGCACACGGGCACTACCAACCACTCTCTCTGGCTGGCAGCTCTCCCTCCTCTGTGGAGGGGGAGCGGTGGCGGAGTGATCAAGCGCACACGGGCACTACCAACCACTCTCTCCGGCTGGCAGCTCTCCCTCCTCTGTGGAGGGGGAGCGGTGGCGGAGTGGTTAAGCGCACACGGGCACTACCAACCACTCTCTCTGGCTGGCAGCTCTCCCTCCTCTGTGGAGGGGGAGCGGTGGCGGAGTGATCAAGCGCACACGGGCACTACCAACCACTCTCTCTGGCTGGCAGCTTTCCCTCCTCTGTGGAGGGGGAGCGGTGGCGGAGTGGTCAAGCGCACACGGGCACTACCAACCACTCTCTCTGGCTGGCAGCTCTCCCTCCTCTGTGGAGGGGGAGCGGTGGCGGAGTGATCAAGCGCACACGGGCACTACCAACCACTCTCTCCGGCTGGCAGCTCTCCCTCCTCTGTGGAGGGGGAGCGGTGGCGGAGTGGTTAAGCGCACACGGGCACTACCAACCACTCTCTCTGGCTGGCAGCTCTCCCTCTGTGGAGGGGGAGCGGTGGCGGAGTGGTTAAGCGCACACGGGCACTACCAACCACTCTCTCTGGCTGGCAACTCTCCCTCTGTGGAGGGGGAGTGGTGGCGGAGTGGTTAAGCGCACACGGGCACTACCAACCACTCTCTCCGGCTGGCAGCTCTCCCTCCTCTGTGGAGGGGGAGCGGTGGCGGAGTGATCAAGCGCACACTAACTCGGCCCCCACACGGGTTCGATTCCCCCACTCACGGCCCAGCAGCACCGGTGATGGAGGGTTATGTGAACCGGTTTCCTATGTCGACTCAGCCTCAAATGAGTACTTGGTGCGTAAACATCGCCACTGGGGAGACAAAGGCGGCCGGGCGTGGTGCTAGCCACCCACCCCCTCGTGTACCGTGCCGGCCCTTCATAGGTGCTCGCTAACAGCACTTGCCCCAACAGTCTGTTAAGCCTATACGGGTGGGGGGGGGTTTCTGTCTCTGTAGCTTCCTCCCCCTCTCTCTCACTCCGCTCTCCGCAGGATTTAGGAGCCGCGGCCCTCGGGGTGTGGGACACCACCACAGGTGTGGACACCACCACGGGTGTGAACAGCACCACAGGTGAGGGAGACCTCTACAGGTGAGAGACGCCATGCAAGGGGAGAAGCGGCCGGCAGGTGGCGCCCCGTCACCGCCTCACATTGGGGGGGGGGGGGGTGTGATCGAGGGCACAATCGAAGGTAAAGGCGCCGCGCTGCAACTGCTGGCTCACGCCACTGCAGGTGAAGGGTCTCCACTAGAGGCAGTTCAACAGGGCCCGTCTGGATGTGTGTTTTGGTTTACGCTCACAAGCTGCCCAAACGTCTTGGGAGAGGTAGGAGTAGCCACACTTTGCCACACCGAACGTAAAACCTGTCGATTGACGAACTCCAGGGGTCGGCACGCGGCTCTTTAATGACTGCCTAATGACGTCACTTATAAATGACCGTCTCCTATTCACGTGCATTGCGGCTCTTGATATATTGAGTTTTTTTTTTACCAAATTCATAAAAATATGGCTCTGCTTGTTGTTCTGGTTGCTGATCCCTGGACTAACTGTGGTGTACACATCTATACTGCCGCGCCTGGAGAACGAACAGGCGACCTACGCGTGCGACCTATTTACACCAGCAGGACAGGATGCCGAGGGCCGAATGCGAGAGAGAGAGGGAGAGCACGTAGCTGAGAGGACATGCGCAGGTTTGAGGCATCTCACGGGCTGTTGTGAACGGTGATTTGGCTTGAGCAGGACGTGTAGGTCACTTGCAAGGGATAAGTCAGAATCAGAATCTTTATTTAGACTGTAAAGCTCTTTTTCACAGATGTCCAGTAGGGGCAGGTCAGAAAGTGACACCTACAAATAACACAAAAACACGAAAGGAGTGCAAAATATAGAAAAGGTAAACAAACCACTTATATAGAAATAAAAATAAACTGTCCGTATCTTACCAGGTAAAACCCACTCAGCTATTAGCCTCTTTTTCAGAAGTGACTTGGCCACAAATGACAGCTCAACGCAGTGGCTTAGGGGCCGTCCATAAATGACGTCACGCGATTTTGGACGATTTTTGACCCCCCCCCCCCCCCTTCGTCGCACGGCGTCACAAAAAGTCAGATCCCCCTCAAATATGACGTCACAAAGCTCTGCCCCCCTCCCAAAATATATATAAATATGCTTCAAATCGCTTTAAACTATTGTCATTGTAGTGCGTATTTAATGTGGCACTGCAATCTGATGTTGTATTTAATTAAGTAGAACGTGTTGTCTATATTTCTCACCCCCCCCCCCCTCGTCACACATCGTCACAAATGTCTGACTCCACCCCCCAGGTGCGTGACGTCATTTATGGACGGCCCCTTATCACTTGGACATGTATAATAGCGAACTAATCTAAGTAATCCCAAACGCACGTTTCTGGCCGGCGGTCGAGACCAGCGACGGAATGGCATCCAAAAGGAGCGAATGGCATCCAAAGGGGACGATCACCGTGGAGATGGAGCGACGATTGTGGGCTCGCGTGCGGGATGGATTGTTGCATCCAGCGGTAGTGCAGTGCTTCGCGTACTAACGCTACGAACCCGGTGGCCCGAGTTCGATTCCCGCTCACGGCTCAACACCAGTGACGAATATCTGAACCGGTCCTGGGCCTCTCCTAGGTAGACTCAGCCTGAAATAAGTACCTTGTGCGGTGTGTAAACGTCAGCACAGGGGAAACAAAGGCGGCCGGGCGTGGCGTTGGCCACACCAACCGCGTCATAGGTGCTTGCCAACAGAACTTGCCCCAACAGTCCGTTAAAGGCTACACGAGGGATTTTTTTTTTGTTTCATTCAGCGGTGGACGGAGCGTCATTTTAGTTTCATGACCAGCAAGCCGGGATCGTCTGTGTATATTAGACGTGAGTAATGGATAAATAAGTATATTATTATCATTACATGGTGTGTACAGTGTAATGAGTGATACGTCTAAAACTCTAAATAGAAGCTCTGTGGCTCCCCCCCCCCACCTTGTATAAACAAGAGTAGGAACATCTGGAATTTAATTATCCTGGAAGAGCCGCCGCTGTCAATGAACCCACTGTGGTGAAGGCGGGGAGCGTAGACGTGGGTGGGCATAGTACAGTACAACGGTGGATGCGACTGCATTTCCCTCTCCTGCGCCAAGCTCCGATGACGCCTGTTCCTTGGACACAGCGGTGTCCCATCCCAGCACTAGCCAGGCGCAATCCCGCTTAGCTTGCGATATCGGGCTCATTTTGGGCCGACTTGGTCATAGGTTTCATCCTTATTGTCCAAACTGTCTTGTTTCAAACAATTATACTTTACAGCAGGTCCTTCGAATCATATTTTTGGTTTTAATGTGAAGCCAAAACGGAATGTGACTTGGTTATTATTTTGTGCAGTCATTTGGTGACCGGGCCGAAACAATCAACTCACTCCAGTTTCTGAATCAATTTAATCTGGAACCCGGATTCGAACCCAGGTCATCAAGCGGCGCATGCTCAGTGTCTCTGACTTCTGGGCTACGCGGTCAATCGTTTCAGTTTCATTTATTAGGTATAACCCTGTGAGCTATGCGGCTCTTGAATCGGGTGCAACCGCAACAAACAAAAACATGAACAAAGAACATCTTAAAGTGACGACGCGCAAACAAAAAAATCCAAAAAAACAGCAAAGTCTTCCAGAAAAAACACCGTATTTCAACACTGTGTGCAAAAATCCCATTGAGGTGCATGTCAAACAATAACAACCATAAGACAATTTAGATTAAAGTTATCAGGCTAACTCTGTGCACAACCTCATCATGCACTAGCTTGGAACTTCATGAATAAAACTAAAGATAGGCTTGATCTCAGTCCTGCATCTCCACAGTATATGTCTTAGTCCATCAGCCTGTCGGCTTCTGAGACCAATTTTATCAAGCAAAATTAGTTTAACCAAGCAAATTATGCACCGGTTTCAAGCTGCAGGGTCTCATCAGAGTCATGCTTGTCAAAGAAATGCTGCTGAATTAGATGTTGTTGAAAATAACATTCTGCTGATGAGACCCAGAATGTCGAAACCGGTCCAGGGTTTGCTTGCTTGCACCTCGCAGCGTGAACCCTGCCGCGTGAACCCTGCCGTGTGAACCCCGCCACGTGAAGGTCACAGCGTGAACCCTGCCACGTGAACGTCACAGCGTGAACCCTGCCGTGTGAACCCTGCCGCGTGAACCCCGCCACGTGAAGGTCACAGCGTGAACCCTGCCACGTGAAGGTCACAGCGTGAACCCCGCCACGTGAAGGTCACAGCGTGAACCCCGCCACGTGAAGGTCACAGCGTGAACCCCGCCACGTGAACGTCACAGCGTGAACCCTGCCGCGTGAACCCCGCCACGTGAAGGTCACAGCGTGAACCCTGCTGCATGAACCCTGCCGCGTGAACCCCGCCACGTGAAGGTCACAGCGTGAACCCTGCCACGTGAAGGTCACAGCGTGAACCCTGCCGCATGAACCCTGCCGTGTGAACCCCGCCACGTGAAGGTCACAGCGTGAACCCTGCCACGTGAAGGTCACAGCGTGAACCCTGCCGCATGAACCCTGCCGTGTAAACCCCGCCACGTGAAGGTCACAGCGTGAACCCTGCCGTGTGAACCCTGCCACGTGAACCCCGCCACGTGAACGTCACAGCGTGAACCCTGCCCTGTGAACCCTGCCGTGTGAACCCTGCCGCGTGAACGTCGCAGCGTGAACCTCGCAGTTTGTGCAGGGCGCGGTTACTCGCTCTGCACCGTCCCCCGGCACCCGAATGACGCACGCGCCGCTTTACCTGGGCACTCACACGCACCTGTCGGGATCACGGGGTCTCGATGAACCTTTGCCTACGTCTCATGGGATGAACAGGGAGCTCGCCTGTGTGTGTGTATGAATAGATGTGTTTGTGTGTTTGTATGTATGGATAGATGTGTGTGTGTATGTATGGATAGATGTGTGTGTGTGTGGATAGATGTGTGTGTGTGTAGATAGATGTGTGTGTGTGTTTGTATGTGTAGAGGAGTATTGTGAGTAACCATGAGGGGACGAACAGAAGGAGTCAAGGATGACGTCATGTCACGGGTGATGTAAGAGGGACCTTCGGGAGCCAAGGCGGGTCCAAGCTGGGGGGAGGAGCCGCCCGAGGGGTTCTGAAGGGGGACCCCGTGACGGAGGCGTGGTCGTTGTGGGGAGCCAGGGGAAGGATCGGCTGGAGGGAGCCAAGGGGGATAGCCGAGGGTAAGGTCCTGTAGTGTGGCGTAAAGGATTGGCTGGAAGAGGATCTCTCTCTCCTCGTCACGGGGAGGTATTGGCTGAACCTTCGCTCAGCGAGAGAGCCCATCGGGATAGTTGAGGGTAGGATCAAATATTGATCAGGGTCCGGGGTAAGGACCGAGATAGAGAGTACCTACACTGGTGTGAGCATAGAGTGTGGAGTGTAACAGGGATTTAATAAAACGGCAACAGCCCTTATCGTGTTCCTCGTCTCCGTGTGGTTCTATTGCAGAACATATGTATGGATAGATGTGTCTGTGTGTATGGATAGATGTGTGTGTGTGTGTTTGTATGTATGTATGTGTAATGGGTTCAACTGAGTTGCAGACATAGACTTGTAGGCAACACATTTGATTCAGTTCCAACACACGGGGTAACTTCCCCTTAACAGAATAACAACCTAAAGTGGTGACCACCCGGCTAACTACACTAGCTACTACGTAACTGTTACACCGGACCGTGACCAACGACTTCGGCCCGGGTCCATGTGTTGGAGACTCGTTGAACAGAGATTGTAGGTGAAGGGTTTCTTCCAGGATCAACAACAACCCTGGTCCCTCTAGGGACGCGGCTTATATTCTCTGTGGCATGGCCGGCTCCGCCCTTGGCCACGTCCACCTTCCAGAATCCTCGGGAAGGATCTGGGTCCCAATCACGTGACCCCCTAGCCCCCTCTTGGGGCCCCTCTGTCAACTCAACTGGTCACGTGTCCTCCCGGGTCAACCAGAGTGCCATGGCCTCACACAACATCATCCTTCGGCCGGCACCCACACACCCTGTCCTGTAGGGCTGGCACTGCACTTACAGCATGGTGCCATCCAGCGCTATTATTCAGCGCACACCTGCCCCTCTAGGGCCAGTACTACACCCACAACATTGTGGTATCCGGCGATGTTGCTACACCGCACACCGTGCCCCTCTAGGGCCGATACTGCACCCACAGCATGGTGACATCCAGCGATGTGTGTGTGTGTGTGTGTTTGTATGCATGTGTAGTGAGTTCAACTGAGTCGCAGACGTATTCTTAGAGGCAACACATTTATATAACACCAACACACGGGGTAATGGTGGACAACAGGGTTTAGACGGGGGTTTTTGGCGAGCGCACTGCACACACCCTTCAATACAATAGCGACATCTTCCGCCATACGGGGCCAGAAGATGTGGAGCTTAAGTGTGGTAAGTGTCTTATGCACACCCATGTGCAGTAGTCGCTCGTGCACCGCCCAGATGATTTTACCGTGCAGGGCAGTGGGCACGACGATGTTTTAATGGCGTAACCCTCCATCCCAATGCATGAGCAATCCGCCTCTGAGGATGACGGAGACTACTCCCCGTCAATCCTCATCCCCGTCCGCCCCCTTGATATGGCGTCATAACTTTAACAGGGAAGCGTCCTCAATCTGGAGGCGTCCCCACTCTGCATGGTCCAAGCCAATAACGGCATCACGCGCCTCAGGACCATCGGCTTCTTCAGGGGTGTCAACTTCGACCGACGCCGCAAGGGGAGGGGGCGAGACCTCGGCAGGTGTTTTACAGCGTCCCGAGCCCGAGAAACATGCGCACCTGTCGCTCGTTGGCAATCGCGACAGGGCATCCGCGTTCGTGTGTCGGGTACTTTTGCGGTAGGAGACAGTAAAAGAATAGTCCTGCAAGACTTCCAACCAACGTGAAAGTTGGCCAGACGGCTGTTCAATACACAGCACGTACTGTAGGGCTGCATGGTTAGAACACACCTCAGCGTCTGCCATAAAGATAGGGGCGATACTGCTGCTGCAAAAAAAGCTATAGCCAAAAGTTCCCGGCATGTGACACAGTACTGTTGTTCGGCTGGAGACAGCACTCTGCTGCCATATGCTTATACACTCTCCAAGCCATCCGCGACTTGAGACAGAACAGCGCCAATTCCAGTGTTGCTAGTGTCCGTAGCAAGGACGAACGGCAAGAAAAAGTCGGGGTATCGGAGGGGAGGGGCGTTCACCAAGCCATCCCGGAGCGCAACAAATGCGGCCTCCTCCTCCCCCTAATGGAACTTCTGACCCTTTGCCGTCAAGGCGTGAAAAGGTTTGGCGATAGTGGCGAAACTGGTGACAAAACGATGGTAATAAGACGCAAAACCAATGAAACTCCGCACCTCCTTCACCGACGTGGGGGTCAGCCAAGAACGCACGCACACGGTTTTGTCCGGGTCCGTCGCTCTCCCTGAATTACGAGGCGCAGTACACGCCGCCAAACCCTTATGCCGTTGCAAGAGCTGTTGTGCCTGGATGCATCTTGCAACCTTGAGAGAAGAAAAATCGTCCTCATCGATGGCCGGCAGGATGATGTTGAGGTCCTTCGCCAACGTCAACAGTCTCTCGAGGACCAGCGAGTCGACTCCATCGTGGTCCATCTTCACGAAGGCAGCCTTTGCTATGGAAGGCGAGGAGCGTCTTGGCTTCCCCCCTCCTCCAAGCAGCGAACTTATGGCACACATTCGACGGCGGCTCATAGATTGCTGGCATCTGAGCAAAGGCGTGATGCAGTGTGGCCCTCTCCGACGGCGGGATGGTGAGAAACGCTGCTGAGGTGTTGTCATCAAGCGCGGCGGGCAGCGCTTCCAGCACCTCCACCTACGTCCACCCTGCCAAGTCGCTGTTCATCAGGAACCTGCGCTTGAAGGCCACCCAGTCGCCTCCGGCAGCTGTAAATTATTTAACGAAGGGCAGTCGTCGCCGGAGAGATGGAATGTTCACAGGTGAACTCAATGCAGTCTCAGATTTGGCGGGCTCCTTGCTCCGTTCCTCAAGCAAAATGGTGGCCGCTTGCGTGGGCTGCGCCACGGAGGTTCCCCATTGGCGGGAAACGGCGACGGGATGTTCAGTCCGGCGCGGCTCTGTTGCTCTCTCCTCGACTGCTGGCTCTTCACGGTGGACGATCGACGCTGCAGCTTGGAGGAGTTCTGCAAGGCAGGAGTGGGCTGTGTGGCGCTCCCTCCCTGACGTCGGTGAGCTGTCACATTGATGGTCGACGCGCTGCTCTGCCGACGGCACCTCATTCCCTTTCTCCGGGGTCGCCATCCCCGGGGCTGTATGAGGGATAACTTTGTCGTCTTCATCGTCTCACATCCTGGTATGTCGTCTGCTTTGCGTAAACATAACCTAACTCAGCTAGCTTACAAAAAAACGTTTGGCCACTTCTGACACCAGTTGTAGTGAGTTAAACTGAGTCGCAGATGTACTCATTGAGGCAACACATTTATTTAACACCAACACATGGGGTAACTGCCCCTTTACAGAATAACAACCTATGGTGGTGACCACCAGGCTAACTACACTAGTCATAATGTAACTGCTACAATGGACCGGACCACAGCTTGGGTCCTGGTCCACGTGTTGGAGACTCGGTAGAACGTAGAACGTAGACGAAGGTTTCTTAAAGATGAACAACAACGCTGGCCCCTCTGGGGGACCTGGCTAATATCCTATGCGGCGTGGCTGGCTCCACCTTTGGCAATGACCACCTTCTAGAATCCTCTAGCAGGATCTGGACCCCGACCATGTGACTGCCCCTAGCCCCCACTTGTGCCCTTTGTAGACTTAACCGGTCACGTGTCCTCTCGGGTCACCCAGAGTGCCACGTCCTTTAGTAACCCCATTTCTATGGCCGGCACTCCCACACCCTATCATGTAAGGGGCGGCACTGCACGCCACGCGTGGTGCCATCCAGCGCTATCAATCAGCGCTCAGCGGGCCCCTCTAGGGCCGGTAATACACCCATACCATTGTGGTGTCCGCGATGTCGTTACATCGCACGCCGTGTTTCTCTCGGGCCAGCACAGCACAGCGACATGCCGCGATGTCCCTCCATATGGATAGATGTTGGTATGAAGAACAAAGGCGGTTGAGCCTAAGACTGGCCACTCCAACCCCTCGGTTCTTCGTTCCGGCCTTCGGAGGTGCTCGCTAACAGCCTCACAAATATGTTGAGGCTATATGGAGGACCTTTGTCTTGTCGTTGCGTAGTGGTGGGGAGCGGTAGTGTAGTGGTTAATGGGCTGCGCTACGAACCCGGTGACCCGAGTTCAATTTCCGCTTACGGCCAACACCAGCGACGATTATATGAACTGGATCTGGGCCTCTCTAAGTCGACTCAGCCTCAAATGACTACCTGATGCAGCGTGTAATCATCGCAACTAGGGAGACAAAGGCGGCCGGGCGTAGTCCTGGCCACACACCTCCCCCCCCCCCTTGTGCGCCGTGCCGGCCTTCATAGTTGCTCGTTAAAAGCAATTTCCCTAACAGTCTGCCTGGACCACTAGGGGAGATCTTTGTGTTTGTATTACCAAGCACCTTTAACGGCACGGCGTAGCGAACAAGGCGGTTGTGGGGTGTTCGGAACCACGCCTGGCCGAATTCGTCTCCACCGGTGCCAGGCTGATGTTTACACACCGCTTCAGTGTGTGTGTACTTGTGTACCGTGTTTGCGTGTGAATTCACGTACTGGTCTGTGTGTATGCATCAGTGTGTGTGTATTTGTGTACCGTGTTTGCGTGTGAATTCACGTACGGGTCTGTGTATACGCATCAGTCTGTGTGTGCGCGCGTGTGTGTGTGGAGTTAACGGTATAAGCATAGCCTGGCACAGTGGTTAGCGCGCTGCACTCCGATCCCGGTGACCCGAATTCGACTCACGCTTACGACTGATAACAGTGGAGAATGTGAACCGATTCCGGGCTACCCAAGGTCGACTCAGCCTTCAATGAGTGCCTGTTGCGGTGTGTAAACATCAGAACCTGGGAGACAAAGGCGGCTGGGCGAGGTGTTGGCACACCCACCTCCTCGTGCGCATGAATGGCCTTCATAGGTGCTCGCGAACAGCACTTACCATGACACCCCGTCAAAAGTCTATACGAGGGATTTTGGTCTTTGGTTTATAGCATGGGCTGTATGGCACTCACCAGTCCAGGCACTCATCAGTCCAGTCTCTCACCTGTCCAGGCTCTCACCTGTCTAGGCGCTCCCCAATCCAGGCTCTCGCATGTCCAGGCCATCGTACGACAGACTCTGAGCTCTGACTCTGTGCCTCAGAGTTCGTGATCAAACACTGCGTCCGATTCTTAAATAATGTGCGCGCGTTATAAATCGTGTTTATTTTCATCATCATAATTGTATCCGTGTGTGGAATCTAACTCGTGGGTTTTATAGCGCGGTGCGCGCAACACCGCGCCACCGTTCCCTAGCCCCGACTCCGCGTACCCATCGCGAGAGTTTATTTACGCCAGCCACGCGCTCGTCGTGCCCGTCATCTCGGCGCCGCCGTGTGTATTAGACGGCGTCCGTGCGTGCGTGCGAGGGGGCCCACGTGCATCTCGCGCTTGCGCAGCGCCTCGTCCCACCGCTGGATGTCCGCACGTGCCGCCTCCGCCGCCTCTAGTTGTCGAGATGAGCGAACAAGAGGGAGCCGGTGCGTCCCGTGCGAGCCAGCGACAATTTCTCTCCGCGCATCAACTCCGAAACCGGTTCAGAGCACGACCGCCCGCCCGGCCGCCCGCCCGCCCGGCCGCCTTCCTTCCTGCTTGCTGGATAATAAACAGATGCCGCGGCTGGCGCTATTGCTGGATACGATTGGTCTGAAAAGCCAATAGGCCGATGAGACTATTTTTTTATATTTCTGACCCTATATATATACACACACACACACGCGGTATATGCTTTTACAGAGAGATGCGGGTCAGATTCGTTGACTTGACCCTCCCTCACCTCCCCTCCCCCCACCTCCCCCAACCCTGCCGACAGGTGCGCGCAACAATTGAATGGAGCTCTGACGCAACAAAGCGACGATCACCTGCACAGACAGGCGAGCGACTCGTGGCGCCCTGGCTGTCCTTTCAGTGTGCGCTGCGTGCGCGTGCGTGTGTATGGATGTAAGCTACGTGAGGACACTTAACGTGGCCTCAAGGTGCACATAGCCTGGCACAAGTGTCGTGGTGACGTCACCGCCACTTAGTGGCGAATGGCGGTTGTTGTTGTTGCTACGTGAATGTGTTAATGTCTTCGTGTTAATGTGTATGCGTGTTATGTACGTGTGCTCCTGTGCATGTGCATCGTGTGTTATGTAGGTGATGTGTGTGGGCGTGCCGTGTGCGTTAATGTGTGTGCTCGCTAGCAGCACTTTCCCCAACAGTCTGTTCATGCTTTACGGGGAATATTTGTCTTTGTGTCTGTGCTGTGCGTGTGTGTTATGCGTGTGCGCGGTATACGTGTGCTGTGTGTGTATTAACTAGTGGGGAGCGGTAGTGTAGCGGTTCGTGCGCCGACCCGAGTTCGATTCCGGCTCATGGCCAACACCAGCGACTATTATTTGAACCTGTCCTGGGCCTCCCCTAGGTCAACTCAGTCTCAAATGAGTACCTGGTGCGGTGTGTTGTAAACATCGCCACTCGGGAGACAAAGGCGGCCGGACGCGGTGTTGGTCACCCGCCCCCTCGTGCGTCGTGCCGGCCTTCATAGGCGCTCGCTAACAGCACTTGCCCCAACAGTCTCTCAAGGCTATACGGGGGATCTTGTTCTGTGTGTGCGTGTCATGTTGTGCGTGACACGAGCGCAGGATGAAGGAGAGCGACCCATAAGACCCAACCACTGCGCCACCGCTCCACCCACGCGCGACGTTTCCTTGTCCAAAATATCAAATCGATTCGTTGGCTGATGGATCGATATTATGATGATCGTTGCAGCAATGGCTCCAACACGTCAATCTCCTTGCACCGATCAATCAATCGCACTCATCTGTTGATTCTTAACGAATATAATTAGACGTGGGTGTGTGTGTGGGGGGAGGTGAAGTGGTAAGGTAATTAATTACGGGAACAAATTGGTACGATCCACGGGGTCATTGTGACCCCCTCCCAACTCTCCTGCCCCCCCCCCCCCCCCACCAGATCGCCCTTTAACGCGACGTCTGCTGGGATTAATTATAACATCACACGTGGGCTTCTGATGAGACGCCGGGGTGATCGTGCGGACTCGTTACCGTCCTCGCTTTCTCGCGGCTCGAATGTCGCGCTCGGGCCGGTGGAGAACAATGTCACTCCGCTTCGCCGATGAGTCGACGACGATCGTGAACCCGAACACGTTTTAGTTCGCGCGACGCGCGGTCTCGTAGCGTCGCCTCGGGGGCCGTGGTCGTTTCACGTCGGCGTTTTGTTTTCTAGACACCGAGTGTTGTGACTGCATTTAACGACGAAATGTGTGGCGACATTTTGCCCACCCCACCCCCAATTGTCGACCCCCCCCCCTCCAATGTTGCCCCCTCGACCCCCACACAATGTTGAGCCCCCCCCCCCAATCGGATGTGTCTCATTGTAACCATCTACTCGTTCATTTCTGTTGACTGTAATAACGACGGCGATGTCCGCATCAACAGCAATGCTCGAGCTGGTTCATATTTATTTTATTCTAAGTTGACCGCGTGAGTGACATCATCGCCTTGGGCAACAAGGACCTAATCCTAGAGTCGTCACGTTTTGGGAAACTTGTTTCCATGAATGCGTCCAATTTTCGATAGGATAATTCGCTGATAGAAACGCAACATACTAACACCACATGTTCGTGGAAGACATTAAAACTAATTTCTTCAGAACTAAGTTTAGTTTGTTGTCCTTCCCCCGTACCTCCGATTAGCACGGTTGTCTACGTACGGTGCAAAAGAAATTTAACATACATACATACATGATGTGATCTCCACCCTCGCCTGCTACAAACAAGACAGACGGACACAGCTAATGCCCTCCGAACGCTTTCCACCTTAGTTTGAAATCGTGGCCCAGTGGTGCTGAGAGATTAAAGGGCTCTCTCTTTCTCTGTGTCTGTCTCTCTCTCTGTCTCTCTCTCATAGAGCGTTACTCTCTGCTCTTAGGTTTTGCTGGCTTCGGTGAGGCAGGTGGACGTGAGCTCACGAACGTGAGCCATTCTTTGCTGGCCTCTTTCTAATACCGTGTTTACAAACTACCCCTCCCCGCGCCGTACTCTATACGTGACAACAACAACAATAATAATGCCACACGCTGCCCCACGTTGCCATAGAGTGGCTTCGAGCCCCCCCCCCCCCCCAGCGGAGTCAGAACGTTTCCCCTGAACGGAAAGAAAAGGGCAGTTGTGCACACACACACACATATACCGTGTATACATGGGCGAATGTATGGGGTTTTGGTGACCCATGTTCTTGTCTCCTTTCAAAACGAGACTTGTGGTCTCGACTTTGTCTAAATAAACAAAGGCAAAATCCCCCGTGTAGCCATCACAGACTGTTGGGGCAAGTGCTGTTAGCGAGCACCTAGGGGGTGGGTGGCCAACACCACGCCCGGCCCCCTTTGTCTCACCATTTGCCATGTTTAGGCATCGCACCAGGTACTCATGTGAGGCTGAGCCGACCTATAGGGGAGGCCCGGGATCGGTTCAGTTTATCGTCACTGGATGTTGGCCGTGAACGAGAATCGAGTTCGGCTCGCCGGGTTCGTAGCGCCGTGCGCTCAGCGCTATAGACGACTAATTAAAGGACACACACACATCCAAAGACAAAGATCCCCCGTATAGCCTTAACAGACTGTAGCGGCAAGTGCTGTTAGCACTGGACTTTGCATGTACTCTCTCTCCCCGAGGTCGCGTGGATTTTTTTCCGAGTCCTCCGGTTTTCCCCTCCACATTTAGAAACATGCGCTTAGGGCATTTGGCTGATATGCATTTCCACGTGGTTAGTGCCACTGCTAGTACCAGTGGTAGTGCCACTGTTAGTGCCACTGGTAGTGCCACTGTTAGTGCCACTAGTAGTACCAGTGGTAGTGCCACTGGTAGTGCCACTGTTAGTGCCACTGGTAGTACCAGTGGTAGTGCCACTGGTAGTACCAGTGGTAGTGTCACTGTTAGTGCCACTAGTAGTACCAGTGGTAGTGCCACTGTTAGTGCCACTGGTAGTGCCACTGTTAGTGCCACTAGTAGTACCAGTGGTAGTGCCACTGGTAGTGCCACTGTTAGTGCCACTGGTAGTACCAGTGGTAGTGCCACTGGTAGTACCAGTGGTAGTGCCACTGTTAGTGCCACTGCTAGTGCCACTGGTAGTACTACTGTTAGTGCCACTGCTAGTGCCACTGGTAGTACCACTGTTAGTGCTACTGGTAGTACCAGTGGTAGTGCCACTGATAGTGTCACGCGTCAGGAGCAGCGGAGTGCATCGCTGTGATGTCTCCTTCCTGTTTGTGGGTCGGTCATTGCGCCGTTACACGTTGCGCGGTCTGATCTGGATTATCACAGTCGCACACCGTGGATTATTTATCGTTCTACGCGTGCATCAGGCATCCGCATCTCATGGCATGGTCTGTGCGGATGCGATTTAGGGAGTGGGGAATTAAAATCATTGACAAAAGTATGGGGTTTGTATGACCTGGGTCCCCCTTCACGGCAGAGACTGGTGGTCTCAACTGGCTCTCGTCCGCTTTAAATATGAGAACAAAATATATATATATATATAACCGGCGACGTTTCGGACAATGAAGAATGGCCAAGATCTGACTGAATTGTTGTGTTTGTTAATTGTGCTTGAGCACTGCCGCTACCACAGCAGGCATTACCAAATAGTGTGTTTAACATTTATATACAAGCTGGGTACACAAAAACAAAGATCCCCAGTGTAGCCTCAACAGACTGAAGGGGCAAGTGCTGTTTGTGATCACCTATGAAGACCAGCATGGCACACGAGGGGGTGGCCAACACCACGCTCGGCAACCTTTGTCTCCCTAGTGATGATGTTTACACACCGCACCAGGTACTCATTTGAGGCTGAGTCGACCTAGGGGAGGCCCAGGACCGGTTCAGATAATCGTCACTGGTGTTAGCCGTGAGCGGGAATCGAACCCGGGTCGCCAGGTTCATAGCGCAGCGCGCTAACCGCTACACTACCACTCCCCGCTACACACACACATACACACGTACACAATGTTACAATAATTCAGCGAACTTTCACGATTAATTCCGCACTGTAACAGAAACACATTCATCATTAACACAGGGATCGATAAGATTCGATTCGGATACAAATCACGGAGCCACACTCCCAGCTGCACGGCCGTCTGTGTTTTATTCGCAATACGACTCGAGTTCACGTGATTTGCTAAACTGTTGATGGTCACGTGAAACACCTCACTTCACCTTGAGTTTTTCGTAAACGTTCCACTAAGTGCTTGGTTGGCTCAGTTTATGCCAATGGCTCTGCAGAAGAAGGCAAAACTACAGCAAGTGGACTAATCGCCATCAGTTTATTCCATCTGTACGGGGATCGAGTGTTGTCTCCTCGCGCGAAGCGTGGGGGGTTTTCTCCTCCCACGTGGTATAATAATGATAAAAACGACGCATCATTAATTGGCTGAAAACATTTTAACATAAAAACCCCAATGTAGCGACAGCACCCTCCTGAAGAAAAGTCCCACGCACGTTGAACTTCTTTCGCACCGTACGTAGCCAACCATGCTAATCGGAGGTGCGGGAGAAGGACAACAAACTGAACACAAAAACAACAAGAAGTAGTTCTAAAGAAATGAGTTTTCAATCTAGATTTAAAGCCGAACGATTCAGTGTGGCTTTCCTGGGTAAATAGGTAAATCATCATCATAATACTCATTATTATAGCAGTGTGAGAGGAAACCGGAGAACCCGGAGGAAACCCACCACGCACGATCTTGAGAAACAGTGCCGTCTGCTCCGTGTTGTTGTTGTTGTTGTTTACATTGTAGCACATCACAAACACAACACGCCATATAATCACTGAAACTCTTTTTTTTTACAAGCAGGTAAGGCCCACTGAGGTGTATAGCTCTTTCTCGGAAGCGACCTGGGTCATCACAAATGATGGTTCGACGAAGTGGGCTTAGCACGTGGACATGTATGGCCGGCAAATACGCAGAGAAAAATCCACGCGACCACGTGGGGGACATGCAAACAAATATACAGCAGGTGTTAGGGTCGGGATCGAACCCACGACCTCCTGTATACCAAGCGATGAAGTTAATATCTCGCCAGCGTCCCGATTTGACGTTTCTGGAAATGACCCTTCTTCAGACTGACTCATAGTTGGTGGTTTTAGTGCCTTGCGCTATGGGGTTTTGAGAAAATGTGGACATTTTAAGAAAGCTCTCGAACTCTCAATGTCTCCCAGTGGCCGGAATCAGTATGCACAGACCCGCCACGATACTGGATATGGGTCAGTTTGACAAAGAAACTGGAGAGAAAGCGGAAAGTGAACATAAACGAGCGGTATAGGTCGGTGCGTTCTTAGAGTTGCATTGAGAGACAGAAAGATGATGAGATGGATCAGAGAACACACGCACGTCAGTGCGATCTTGTGTAAGTGGGCTCAGGTAGGGATAGTAAATGGTCGGTGGGCGAGACTAATGACGGAATGGCAGCCAAAGAAGGAATATTTCGCCTATCAATGACATCTGCCGCAGAGATAGAACGATTAAATTGGCTGAAGCACAAGGTGCGAGATGGAATTTTGCGTTGTTGAACCGTGAGCAACAGCGACCGCTTCGGGAAGTCTTCATCCAGCGGTGGGTTGATCATGGCCAGTGACGATGATGACTAATATAAAACCGATGTCTCTCCATTTAAATCAGCTCACGCCTCTCATACATCACGTGACTTGTGTGACCACCTCCACTCTGAATCCTCCTCTCCTCTCCCTCCCTGCCGCTGCCCACTGTGAAAACAGCCGCTGTTCCTCCTCCTCCTACTCCATGCAGCAGCGTCGAGGCCCTGATGCAGTCCCTTCGTCCCTATCTTCATCCTTCCCTGACC